GCTGTACATGTCATGGGAAGTCACACCATCTCCACTTTGACGCCTCGCCACGAAAGACTTGAGGCCCTAGGCCCTGGTAGCCAAGCTTCAAGATGCTTCAAGGACCACGCATAGCAACTGAGAATGATTGGAAAACTCATGCACATGCAAGAGAGGGCTCAGACGCTTCGCGCATTACTGGCCTCATCTAGGAATCTAGGCTCAAGCTTGGACCTACGTGTCGCGGCGACGCTCCGTGATGGTCAGATAGACTCGGGAATCTTTCGTAATGAAAGCCAGGTCGGAGACGTCATGTCTCGCGAGGCTGCCTAAGCCTCACGGATCCCCTCCGGGTCCGGGACGTCCCCGGTTGAAGTTATCGCAGCAGCTGTGGAGCACGCGAGCTCAGCGGATCGGCTCAGACTTCAGCCGGCCGTGCATCGCTGCCCAGTCGCGCATGACAGCCAGGGCCTTTCCGCGCCGAATCTCTTCGACCTCTCGCCAAAGAACGTGAAGAGGCTACATCCATTCTTCACCACGGACGCCTGCTGAAATCTTAAACCTCCAGGTTTCGATTTCAAGCTCTTCAGCACCGCTACAACAAAGGAGCCCCTCAATTCAAACCCAAAATCCTCAGCCTTCTCGAATGAATATCAGGTCTTCGTGCCACGGATGTTTCTTTAAGAAACAGTAGGTCAGTAGGACTAGAAACTGGTAGATGAACTGAGGGGTCAAGGAGCCTTCGAGGCGGGCGCAATATCTTCAAAAGGCAGCCTGCATGCTTAAGAAATCGAGGATCCCTTAATGCCAGGTTGGCCTCTGTGTGATGCGCGGTCCTGTCAGGAAGCGACACTGCTGAGATGAGAGGGGAAGGCGAAGTTGGAACGAAAAGCGGTGCACATCCCTTTGTTTTTAATATCTATTATATTTCTATCGGTTTAACAAATTCTACTGAATAGTCTTACTACTAGTGGGATTGTTTTGTACATTTCTCGCCTTCGTAAACTTACTTCGGAAAACACAGCGACGACCGTCCTCCTCAAGGAGCTGATCCTTTCATTCGCACCACCTGAGCCGAGACACGGAGGCGCGGGACAAAACATGGTGTAATATATTGTATGGTCATTGCACATGATGTGTTGTGACCTTCTGTATTAAATATACGCCATTATCAGTACTTCATGTTCGAGAGTCCAGGGAAATGGAGATAGGGCGGCTTTGAGTAGGATGAGGATGAAGGCAGACCGGCCGGTCTCCTGTGAGCTTAGCAGACTGCATTACGGCACCCCCTATGCGGAGATTTCCATCTTCTTGCATCTTCGCAACTCTTCAGGGCGAGCTGCGCCTGAGCACTGGGACATGCCACGAAAATCTCGGCATGATGGCAAGTCACTGCAAAAGGCCTCTTGCATTCTGCTATTGTGACTTCAGACAGCAACTGGGGAGCCCCATTAGATCCTGTTCTCCAGGCCCCAGGCGGGAACCAGCTCTGCGTCGGCGCGCCGGTGCGCTGCCGCTGTGGCAGTGGCCGCTGCGATCTGCAAAGAGTTGAAGGTTGTGTCTCGCTGGGGGCCTTCAACTTTGAAGCAGAAAGCCCTGATTCAAGCATGGAACCTAGATTTCAGCTCGGGGCCCGAGCAACGGGTCTGTGTCGTGGCTTAGATTTGCTTTCTCTACACCGCTCGCGGTCCAGAAGAGCCTTCTCTAGATGCCAATTCGCTTGGGAGCTACGAGTAGCGATTTTGTCCAACCGCCGCAGCGGGATGATCGAAAGCCATACACGCACACAAGACTTTGCAACTATCGAAGGCCTCAGCGGCATGTTCGGCACGGCTCGTGCCTGTAAGAACGTCATGCCGGGAGTCCAAGGAAGGAGAAAGCTCAAGCATGCTCAAGCTAGCGACTTTGGCAATCGTATCATAGTCGATTGAATGGCCGGTGAAGTCGCTCTGTTTGTTTTTGGATCCGGAACCTCAAGCCTCAAACCCGGCTGCAGTCTCTCAGCTGATGATGCAGTGAGCTGCCGGTCAAGGACGAGGGCGGCGGGCACCTTCATTGCGTGACGTTCGCAGAGGCACGACACGTCTGTGGCGATCTTCAAAGCATCCGCCCTCTGCCGGCAAGGGACTGGTAATCGCCAGAGGGGCGCCTCAAGTTCAATCTGGGACCTCAAGTGAAGATTTTAAACGATGTCAAGGCCTTCAAGGATTCTGACACGGCTGACATGTGGCAAACACTGTTCATGAAAGTTAAAGCTGGGTCAGCATTTCTGACGAGGTGCTGCCAGACTCTGCTTCGCGGAAGGTGGTCTTGTTGTTGATATGAAGAAGACCATCATCAACTTGTCCTCATCGACACAGCTAAATGCATCTAAATGCCAGTTGCATTCAAATTTAGTCTCAGCCAACGCAAGTTGTCCTGGCAGTTGCCCGGCAGTTTCCGCCATTTCGTCAGGTCCAGTCTCAGCTGCACCGGCGCTCAGATGGGACGCCGGACTACCTCAGCTGCTGAAGTCTCAAACTCAGTACTCAGAAAGGGAAGAATCAAAAAAGCGGCAGTGACGCTGACAGTTTTCACTCGGGCAACGAGCACTGCAACGGCCACTGCCACCATGGCACCCACCCCGGCAAAGAGGGACTTTAGCATGTCATCCTCCTTCTTGGGCTCCTTGGCATCGTCGACCTGTGGGCTTTGAGCCAGGCGCTGCCCAGCTCCCAATTTGACTGAGCTCCAACTACTGCAAGGAAGTAGGTCGAGTTTCCGCACCTTCTGTCACCCAACTGACAGTCAAAGTACTTCGTCTGCACGGTGCATGAATCGTAAACACTCGGAACATCTCGGTACTATCTCAACCTTACCTCTGAACACCCTCATCCCAAAGCAAGACACCCGACAGCCTCAACTCCGTCCAGGCCCATGGCATGCAGGCCGGGCATGGACTCGATCCCTGGAGGGATCTCTTGGCCTGGGTTTGCTTTATGCCCCAGGATTCACAAACACCAGATGCTGTAAAATCTCGTGATGGCTCTCGTCCGGAGCTTCTGAGATCTCTGCTTGCCAGTCTCAGTCCTAGTCCCTCGGATGCAGCGCTGGCCCCCACCTGGCTCATGCCTCAGCTGCCCGTGGCGCTTGGTAAAACGTTTGACTCTGACAAACAAAAAAAAACTTCCGTAGAATTCCCCGGAGAAAAGGTATAGCTGCCGCGACCAGACTGCGACTTCGTCTCCATTCCGCGCGGCCAGCGCACATGCGCGGTGCAGCATTTGGCCTTTGTCGAGAGACGGGCAAAGGTATTTCAGGCAGAAGGTTTTCGAAGTCCTGGTCCTAGTCAGTTGATACGCATGCTACTGGTAACGATGCTGGAAGTGTCGGAATCATCAGAAGCTGAAGGTCGGCAGGAGAAAAACGCAAGTTCTCGTGTCGGCTTACCTGAGAGCGGCACCAGACTTCCTCCATCTCCTGCATGCGGTGAGGATCCACCTGGGTGACCATTGTGGCTGAACCCTTTTTGTAGAAATGGTACAACGAGACACGAAGAGAGAGGGAGAGGGAGAGAGGGAGAGAGAGAGAGAGAGAGAGAGAGAGAGAGAGAGAGAGAGAGGGAGAGGGAGAGAGGGAGAGAGAGAGCGGGAGACTCGCTCTGTTG